TCTTATTAACTCTGTTTTCTCCTAGAGCTCCAGGAAGAAATCACAGCCAGCGTTTCACCCTATTTGTGATTTTGGGGAGCATGTCATAAATATAAAGGGAAGGGTAAACACCTTTAAATCCCTCCTGGCCAGAGGAAAAATCCTCTCACCTGTAAAGGGTTAAGAAGCTAAGACAACCTCATTGGTACCTGACCAAAATGACCAATGAGGAGACAAGACACTTTCAAAGCTGGAGTGGGGGGGAAACAAAGGGTTCTCTCTGTCTGTGTTATATTTTGCCGGGACCAGAGCAGGAATGCAGGTCAGAATTCCTGTAAAGGGTTAATAAGCAATCTAGTTAGATATGCGTTAGATTCTGTCTTGTTTAAATGGCTGATAAAATAAGTTGTGCTGAATGGAATGTATATTCCGGTTTTTGTGACTTTTTGCAACTTAAGGTTTTGCCTAGAGGGATTCTCTGTGTTTTGAATATGATTACTCTGTGAGGTATTTACCATCCTGATTTTACAGAGGTGATTCTTTTACTTTTTCTTTAATTAAAATTCTTCTTCTAAGAACCTGATTGCTTTTTCATTGTTCTTAAGATCCAAGGGTTTGGGTCTGTGTTCACCTGTGCAAATTGGTGAGGATTTTTATCAAGCCTTCCCTAGGAAAGGGGTGTAGGGCTTGGGGGGATTTTGGGAGGAAAGACGTTTCCAAGTGGGTTCTTTCCCTGTTGTTTTTGTTAGACGCTGTTGTTTTTGTTAGACGCTTGGTGGTGGCAGCAATAAGATCCAGGGACAAAAGGTAAAATAGTTTGTACCTTGGGGAAGTTTTAACCTAAGCTGGTAAAAATAAGCTTAGGGTTTTTTTCATACAGGTCCCCTCATCTGTATCCTAAAGTTCAGAGTGGGGAAGGAACCTTGACATATGGGGTAGCTCTGTACAGCATCTTTACACCCTCTGTTTTGACACTGTTTTGACCCAGAATTTAATATTGAGTTATACCTGATAGTTCTTCTGTTTCCTAATAAATTTGTACAAGTGGCATGAGCTTTGGAAAGTCTGTGAAGAGAGAGGCACCATATTTTCTTATGCAGCTTTAGACTTCAACTTTCCTCTAGGTTTTATCAGAGTTAGTTTATGAAATGTTGGGAAAATCTCATTTATGCATGAGGTTTTATCTATATAGAGACATTTATAGTCCAAGACATTTCAATAGGGATAGGCTCATTTTAAAACCGTGATCCAAACACTGTCTTATGTTGGGGAAGTATGGTACTAGATCCAAACTGTGGTGTTTTGTCTCTTCTTTAAGAATCAGTTTTTAAAATATTTCTATCATTGTGCATAAAAGATTCCTTCTTAGAATAAACCGTTTGCTTTTAATTAACAACCCCCAGCATGTTCATGATGCAAAGTAAATGTGAATTTCCAAGATTAGTGTTGCAAGTCTACATATCCCTTACAGTTAAGGTATGGCTTTAAGTATAACTAAGGTTAGTGGCTTTCAATTTTTGCCTAGTAAAAATAATTAATAGCATTTGTTACAACGAACATGTTAGTGACACATTTTTTTTTTCTCCCCTGAGTCTTCAGTTTTGCACTTAGGCTCATGTTTCAAATGATATCTGGTCCATCGGTTTCCTAGTGGGATAACGTCTATGCTATACAAACTTAACAACACATTGGCATTAAATGGCTGGCTGGCTGGCTGAATGAAGGAACTGAGAATGGTAATGCTACCGTCATTTCTCTAGGACAGAATTGGATTCAATGGATGGATACCAAAGGGGAAGCCCATACTGTTGCTGTCTATGCTGTTCTGGTACAAGAACCAAAGAGTCTATTTCATTTTCAAATCCTTTCCGTCTGACACCACTCATGAGCACTAAAATTACCTTTTTAACAAAACACCAATGTTAATGCGTTATATAAAGAAGCACTTCGGTACTGATGTTCTTTGTGGCATTTCTGAATAAATTGGCTTGACCATAATTATGGTAATGATCTTGATTTCCATTTCAAGTCCAGGAAGCAAGTGTGTGCTGTTGCTATTTTTTGTGTTCAGTTGGTTCTACTTTCTGTTTTAATTTTGGTATGATATCGTGTTTTATACTTTATTGCTGCCAAGCGAAAATGGGCTTGCTGGTGGGTGTTGTGTGGGTTAGAAGTGGGAGGAATCCAAAATCCTGAAGTTCCAGTTGTACCATTCATCCGCTTGACATGTTCCAAGACTCTGAAAGGGTTTATTGTAATGTAATTTCACATTGACAGCTCCCTGCATTAGGGAATAGTTGGCATTTGCATGCAAGTTTTTGGGCTGTTACTATGCCTCCTTTTGTTCGCTTGTTATAGCAAGCAACAGAAATTGAATTTGTCCCTGTGGAGGACACAGTCCCTTTCACAAATAAACCAGTTTTTCTGATGAGAGGCCAGGCTTTCTAAAGATAAAACTTAATTTAGTGTACTCCTGTCAGTAAACAAGAGCCCATTTTGGGGAAAGCAAGATCACCTAAGTGTGGAAGCCGAGAAAAGTGGCTTCAAGAGGGGAGATGTAAAGCTCACCTCCATCAGGCTCCCATCCTATGTTTATGCCCTCCATTAAAATCCAGCTCTACAGATATTCAATGACCTTCCCTAAAAGCATGAAACAGTATTTAGGCAAGAAATGCAGAGCCAGTAATAGGAGGAGGATGGCCTTTGTCTGAAGGACTAGTGGAGTATCTGACAAAAAGGCTGCAAATGCTGAAAAGGAAAAGTGTGTCATGAACAAAAATTCAGTTGCTAGTGGGGCTTAATGGCCAATGAACAGACATACTCACTGAGTTGACTGATGAAAAATGTACCAGAAAAAGAAAAAGTGAGCCCTTTAGTCACAGGTGCTGATAACTGTGTTTAGCAAATAAAATCAGGTATGGGTGGGGGAAACAAAGGGAGGGGAGAGAAGGTATGGTAAGAAAATTGAGACTCATGAAAGATACAATGATAAAAGGGTGGGTCAGGAAACCTCAAGAGAAGGAGTTCACTGTGTCGCGTATAGGAAAAGATCTGTTGAATCGGCATTTCAAGAGTGAGGTTTCAGTAATGAGGCAGGTTTCCGAGTAGCAGCCGTGTTAGTCTGTATCCACAAAAAGAAAATGAAAAACTTGAAACAAGAAAACTTGTGGCACCTTAGAGACTAACCCATTTATTTGAGCATAAGCTCATTTATTTGAGCGTAAGTGAGTTACAGCTCACTTCATCAAATGCAATAATGAGTAATAAGGCAAACTTTCTATTTTCCTCAGCAAGTGTTAGAAGCCCCCAAGGAATATTATTTCCAGATTATGCTAATTAAAAAAAAAAGTAAAGATGCAGTGATGAGGAAATAAAAGTTAGTATGTTAGTATAAGGCCACAAATTTATAATGACCTATGTTCTCTGGCATTATGGCTAAAGCAGAATCTGAGTGAGTAAATCAGTAAAGAGTTTAGAAAGAGACATAAGGATTTGACCTTCTGCAATAAAGTTTTATTCTCAGTGAAGAAAGTAAAAAGATCTTCCACCCTTGCACTGAGAAAAGAAACTCAGGGAGAACAATCTGAAGATGAGATGGAGCTGAATTTCTTGTGAACAGTAATGCCTATTATTGTACAAAAAGAGAAGCACTGGATAAAAAGAGAACAAAAATATGATTAAGGAAATACAGTCCCAGTAAGTTCTGAAGAGTAGGTCAAAGAGAACTGACTAAAAAAGCCAAAATTAATTTGGACTGTCAGAGTAGGAGGAGAAGATATTTAAGATATTTCTACATTGAAAATTGAAGGTTTTATTTGGAAAATATTCCTCAAAGAAATGAGATTAACAAAATGAGGTTGAGGGTGGCTATTATATGTGTTGGTCGTAGGAGCCATAAGTGAGTTTTTTCTCTCCTTTTATAAATTGAAAAGATTTCTAAAATTAAATAGCTATATCTTTATTTTGAGGAGAATATTAAGATATAACTTGTAAATGTAAATATTTGGAGTAGAAATGTACTGTAATGGGTATCCAATTGGGGGCAGAATTGAGGCCATATAAACAGATTTAGGAAATAAAACCCATATAGCCTCTGAAAATCAGTTCTCAGCAGCCCATTAATAATCATATTCACTGTTTCTGGCCTCTGTAACAGCAGGATTTAGATGTAGTTGGCGAGTACAAGGGCATACCAATAAGCGGCACTTACAGTGTGTGGCATTTTTCTCCAATCTATGGCCAAGCAGAGGCAACAAGTACTAATAAAATTGAATGACAGTTCATAAAACAAGTGCAGCTTATTTCATTCTATCTTGCCAAGTCTGGGTTTGACCTACCTCTAAGTGAAGTCATGCAACAAATATTAGTGTATATCTATAAACTATGGTAACTTATGCAATGAGAACTAAGACATTTCCCCAATGCCGTTTTATTTGTGTATTATGAAAACCTTTCTTGGATACTTCTTAAACATAACATTGAATGGGGAAACTACCTGTATGTTGACACTTGCATTATAGTGTTGTAAGTTGTCGACCTAGTTAAAGATCAGCTAACACTGGTTATTTATACAATTTCTAAGTAAATTGGAAATGCAAAACATTGTTAGTCATAAATAACCAGAGCTTTTCAGTCAATTACAAGTAGAGGTAATTAGTTTGACTGTTGTGCAAAAAGCCATAGGTAGGAATGTTTTCAGAATGCTTGTGTATCTTGGAGGGCTGAAGCTAGTGTGTACCTGAATTTAACTGCTTGAACCAGTTTACTGCTTACAGTCTGTGGTAAATGCAGGACTATAAAATGAAAGTTCTTATTCCTGTCTCCTGTTCTTTCTCTCTCTCGTCAGATACTTTCAGACATATCTACAGAAGTGCTTTATTTCTTCATTATATTTCTTCATGTGTATATAAAGTGAACTTTTTTAAAGGTACTTGCTCTGGAAGAAGTCTGTCTTAATCAGCCAAAGAGTTTAAAGGAGAACATGAAAGTTAAAATGATCTTTGTTTTATGTTTTCTCTTAGAGAGAGAGAGAGGTCTGAAGAATGATAGATTAATCTGGGAAGGTGAATGACACTCTAAAGGTAAATGACCTTTCTCTTTTCCATTTTTTGCTTCAAGTGTGCTGCTCAACAAAGAATATACTTGTATGAAAATTGTCATTGGAGCATTTAACAAATTTTGACAAAATACTTTTAATCAAGTTGATTAAAAAAGCCCATTATTATGGGGTAGTTCAATTAAAATTGAGTTTTTAGAGGTGAGAAACTAGTTACTCCAAAGGCTTGGGACCTGAGAACTTAGACACATTGCTAGACAGTATTGAATCCATTATGGGAAGTGCTGTTGATTGAAAGTCTAGAGAGTCTGCGTTTAGTGAACACTTGCATTATGTCTTGACTTATTTGAGAGATGCTGACGCAAATTTCATTTGGCAATTTGGGTTTAATATACAGTTGTGTGTGAAGGTAATACAATTATACAGTGGTATATCCGGTACAGTATCTTTTATTTTAAGAAAATAGAAGTAGTAATATACAGTAGCAATCATTGTACTATGATCAAATAAAGCCCCAAGGTAAGTGCTCAGTACCTCATAGGTAAGGCTGTGTTTTAGTCACTGGTATTTTTAGTAAAAGTCATGGACTGGTCACAAGCAGTAAACAAAATTTCATGGCCCGTGACCTGTCCATGACTTTTACTATATACCCCTAACTAAATCTCAGGCTGGGGGCCGCGGGTGCTGAGCGGAGGTGGCCTGGGAACCCGCTGGTGCTGGGCATGGGGAGGCGGGCGGTGGCATGGAGCTCAGGACCCCTGCTGGTGCTGGGGTGGAGGGTAGGTGGCAGCGCGCAGCCCGGGACCCCTGCTGGCGCTAGTGGAGGGGTGAGGGGAGGGAGGAGGCAGCAGTGGTGGCACGTGACTCGGAATCTCTGCAGGGGGGCAGCGGCGTGTGGCCCGGGACCCCCGCTGGTGCTGTCGGGGGAAGGGCTGGCAGGCTCCCTATCCAGCCCCTATCAACATGTCCCTGAAGCTCCCCTCCCCAAGGCAAATGCTGTCCAACACCCTGCCCCTCCCGTGCCTAAACTACTGCTGCTGTCTCAAGGGGCAGCCCCTGAGCCAGCCGCACTGGCTGCAGAAGTTATGGAAAGTCACGGAATCCATGACCTACATGACAGACACACAGCCTTACTCATAGGTTCAGGTGCATAGAGGCAGACTTGCAGTCCCTATTCAGACCTTACTCTGATCAAGTGTTGATTGGCTTCAGTAGAGACTGAAGAAATTGCAGGATATGGATCACTAAACTATTATTTATTGATTTATTTATTTATTTATTTATATTTCCGGAGTGCTGAGGAGCCCTAGTCATGGACCAGGATCCCATTGTGCTAGGTAATAAGTAGTCAAAGGATACACTTCTAGTCTGGCAGAAGATACTATCTCACATTTGCATCTAAAATGTGAACCAGAAATTAGTTTTTTCCTAACTGGTTAGTCTTTTTTCTGACTAAGAGTAGAGAGTTTGCTTCTCACCATTTTATGCACTTCAATGTATAATTATGATTGTGCTGAAAAGGGGATGAAGGACTTTTAGTTGAAATTAGGTTTGGTTTTTTGGATGGTTCTAAACAAAGAATACAGTAGTAGGGAAGTTCATTTCACATTTGAAGGCTTGTAAAAGGTGATCTGTGTAAGAGATAGTAACATTAAATAGATTCTAAGGCCAAGACAAATACTTCAGCACCAAGTTTCAAAGTGTGAAACTACCATTTCCTGTGATTGTAATACAGAGTGTGAGGAGAAGATGTCAGAATACAAGATTTCATGTGTGGATCTGCCCCCTCCCAGGCATCCATTCAACCTCACTGACATCACTTTTTTCATGTTTGTCTGTTGTGTTTAATGTCTGCTTGGTATTTTTCTACCATCACTATATTTTTTTTAAGTTTTTATATTTTACCTTTCCTGCTTCTGGGTGCTTTCTGTAATGCTTATTTACTCAGTTTATTTAAAATAAAACTATTCCATGTTATTGTAAAGCTACTACAGTCAAAAAAAAGAGGGTTCTCATCACAATTAGTTGGGAGGTCCAGGGGATTCCAAGGGTCATAGTGAGGGGAATGATACCAGATTTTGTGGACTGTATGTGATCTGGTAGCCCTGTGATTATCACCAGTGTGGCTAGCATTTATTTTGTGAACTTGTTTTCAAAAAGAGGAACTTAAACCTGAGAAGTGCTAGTCCAAAGGATCTTAGAGTGTGGGCCAGCTTTGAGTGTTGCTGCTTGTAGCAAGCTATGTTAGAGATATATTTATTATAGTAGGGTCTAGGAGCCCTGTCATGGTCCAGGACCCATTTTGCTAGGTGCAGTACAAACACAGAACAAAAAGACTGTTTCTGCACCAAGGAGCATATAATCTAAGCATGAAACAAGAGATAACAGATGGATACAGACAGACTAACAGGAGAGCACAAGGAAACAGTGAAATAATACTGGTCAGCATGATAGGCTGTGGTCTCAGCTCGCCAGCAGACTTACTTGTCAGGTTTTTTTGTTTTCTGGGGTTTTTTTTGGTAAGACCTCATGGTGGAGGAGAGTAGTAAGGAGAGATATGAGGTAGGATGATGAGGTAACTGTGGATGTTTACAGGGAGCTTCTTCCATGCAGGGCAGCATGGGAGAGAGCACTTAGGGTATGTTTACATGGCAGTTAAAAACCCACAACTGGCCCATGCAAGCTGACTAACGTTCGCAGGGCTCAGGGTAGAGGGCTGTTTAATTGCGGTTTGATCTTTGGGCTCTGGCTGCAGCCTGGGCTCTAGAACCTTGGGAGATGGGAGGACCCCAGATCCCGAAAGTATACACTGTAGTTAAACAGCCCCTTAGACTGAGCTTCAGGAACCCAAGTCAGCTGGCTTGGGCCAGCCACATGTGTCTAACTGCAGTGTAGATAGTATCGTTAAGTGCTTGTTTGAAAATTTAACAAGTGGGCAGTGGAGGAAGGCTGATAGGAGACGGGAGTAGACCGTTCAATGCTGAATTAGAGATGATAGATTGAGTGGAGATAGATCATCGTGAAGAGCCTTGAAAGGGAAGACAAGTAGTTAGATAGGATAGAGAACAGAGAGCCAGTTAACAGGATGCAAAGAGAGAATGACATGGTCAAAGCGATGGGCTAGAAAATGATCTTTGCAGCAACCTTCTGAATGGTTATGTGTAGGGAAAGATTATGTTTGTCTACACCAGAGAAAAAGGTATTGCAAGAATCGAGATGCAAGCTGAGAGCCTGGACAAGAGTTTTATCTATGTGGATGGATAGGAAAGTCCTTAGAGATTTTAGAGATGTTATGCAGAAAGAATTGGCAAGACTTAGATGTATGTGGTCTTGGAGTGTTGAAAGGAATGATGAGAATAGCTTTAGGACTACGTAGAGAGTATGAAGATACTCTCACAGATAGTAAAGTAGTCCACCCTATAAATGTGAAGCAAGTCAAAATGAAGAATTATCAGTTGCACTAATAGGCACCTGCAGCAAAAGTGTGCACATCTAGAATCTTAAATTTGAACTTCAGAAATAGGTAACTTCCTGAAACATGTAGAGAATCATTTGAATCCCCAAGCCTGAGTTGTGGGGATGGCTGTTAAATTTCATATAAAATTCAGGATGCAGTTTGAAAGCTTATAGGCATTCTATTTCTATTTGAGATCCATAATATCTTTTCCATGATCCAAATCACCATTACTTGTCAACATCAATTCTATGCCATGCTACTCTGTGAAAAGGTACTTGACATTAAACAGAGAATCTACATTAAGTATAAATGTCTCTGATTCCCTTGAAATTGAACCTGTTGTAGTAATCTGCTTGTAGCATTTGTTTCCCTGTAGTACAATACTAACATACCTGCCCACAGATATATGGGACTGTATCTGTAACATACTGAGAGTCCAGCACAGTGTGAGTTAAAATGAAACCGATATTTGAATAACGCAAACGACTAACTACTTAATTTACAAGGGAAGCATTAAAATGAGTCCTGTCACTCTAAAATATTTTTGTGCATCTTGCTTAGTGAACCTAGGGTATGATTCACCTAAATCTTGGCTGTGCTTCTATTTCGTGGTATCTGGAAACTTTTAACAAAACTATTTGATTATTACAGGCTGATGATGAGATATGGCACTTCTGCTGCTTAATAACATGTAGCTTGGTAAGGTTCGTAGCTTGGGTCAAGAAAAACTGTTCTCAAAAATGCTGCTGTAATCCCAGCATTAGAAACTCAAGTGAACTATATAACTTTGAACCTGATCTTGTACGTGTTGAAGTTAGTGGTTGGCTATGCCCTTGACTTGAATGGGAGCAGCAGCAGCGTTTTTATTCATTAATGTTCCAGTTCAACAAGGTACTAAACGTTGAAGTCAATGGGACTACTCAAGTGTTTAAAGCTAGGCATGTGCTTAAGAGACTTGCTGACTTTGGGCCTAAGAAAATGTTTAACCACTCGATGGTAGGATGTTTAGGTGACACAATACTCCTGAGTTTTGACGCCTGGTTATGTTGCTGTGGTTGACTTCGGCATAGAAGGGACAAATAGTAATTTTTAATATTTACAGAAATTATAGAGGGTTCTGTTCATATCGGGTTAAACCAGGATGGAGAAGACTGGCTAAAACAAGTGTACAAAGCTGTAATTGGAAAACTGTATTTAATAATCAGCTTCCTAGTCTCACACTTCAGAAGGGGTTACAATGGAAGTTTTCTCAGGTTAGTATTTGAATTGATTAGGTAATTAGATTTGGTTTGTGAATCAAGGCAGGTATACGCTTTGTATTTTAGAGTGGTTACTGTGTAGTTGTTAAACATGTTTTTAGCCACAGAGTTACAAGCAGTGTATTATAAATTTGATGCAAATGAAAAATTATTTCCTAGTTTGTGACAATATGAAAAGCTCTTTCATTGTCCAAGTCCTTGGCTTTGCTAGCAGGTGATATGGGTGCCTGCAGCTGTTGACCCATGTGAAACACACTGGTTTTCTTCACATTCTAAAACCAGCAAGAATTTAGATTCCAGAGCAGGTTA